GAGTGGATCCGAGACTCGATTCTTGCGATTAATGAATTGTTTAAATAAGTTGCATGCTACAAACATGATTTGTGTTCAAAACTATGCAGATTCTACATATAATAACTTATCGCCACTAATGAGAGAAATATATGAAATTAAATACCAAGCAAATCTATGTGACCTGGTCTAGCTGCAATCAAATTTTAAATTTGTCATTCTTATATAGGACCCAAAGTCAACAAACTATCAAGGTCTAATTTTATATAAAACTTAAGATTTAACTGCTATATTTTAAACTTGTGGAAATTTTTTTAAATGTCAATAAATTTATTGTGGAATTAGTACAGTTAAATAGTATATTTCTACCATAAAATCACCCTTGTAAATTATAAAATTTTATTTAGATATCATTATCAAAGTTTGATTTTTATTTTGAACATAATTTACAGATATAATTCTGTTACATTATGTTTAAAATTTAATGATTGATAAAATTTGGTAAATTGACCAGGTATATTATGATAAAATATTTTAGTTTTGATAAATGTAACATACTAATTTTAGTTTGTTAAACACATGCTAGCACAATACCATATTTGTAATAAAAAATATTTCAATGCAAGAAATATAAAATTTTATTTGTACAAAATAGCAATTAAAATTAAAATTCATATAATATCTGTATAATATAAATAAACTGTAAGATACTGTTATTAAAAATATTAAAACTCAACTTTAACTAATAAAATTTAGTGTATTAACTTTAATGTAAATGTTAATTTTACAATTACAATTACAATGTTAATTTAATGTAAATTACTTAATAATTGACTTTTAATATTATAATAAGACGTTCATAGATGCTTATAAATGGATAATTATTGATATTATAAATAAAGTGCAGTTGACGTAATTTGAATTTATTGTTATTTTGAGTGCACTCAACTATAATTAATGATAAAACAATTAAATTATTAAATTTCTAAATCTTTCCTGTATAAGTCAAATACAGTATTGTTTTAGACTTTGAAATAAATCATATTTTACAGAATTATTTGGTAAAGTTATATTATATTTATTCCTTTTAATATTATAATGTAATAGCCTTTGTTTTTAGATAAGTTCAAGTAATTATGAGAAAATGAGTGAAAAAGTATGTACTGTTTGTGGTGATCGTGCATTGGGTATGAAAAGTGAATATTTAAATATAATTTATTTGAAATTAAATATAATAATATAATGTTTGAAAATTACCCGTTCATGAGTACAATAAAAATTATATATATCATTTAGCGATTGTTAACTATAATTCATTATTGTGCCAGAAAATATACATATTGCAATTTAATTATACAGTAGTAAAAATTTATGTTTTTATTTTTATCATTTTCATGTCCTTTAGTAAAAGTAGATAAATAAATAAATCAATTATTAGCAATTATTTCAGCCCTGTCTGACTAACTTTGATGATTAGGCCGTAACTTTGGTGCCCTCACATGCGAGCCCTGTCGTATATTCTTTAGACGGAATGCCCAAAGAGCTCCAGTATGTCATCAAAATCAATGATTTCTATTTCTATTCAAATATCCATACATATGCAGGAGTTTGTGTGCTATTTGGGTAAACAATGTATCATGGACCGTTTGTCACGAAAACATTGCAAAAAGTGTAGAATTGAGAAATGTTTTGCTGTCGGAATGATCCAGGTATGTGTAATAATGAATTCTCTAAAAATATATTTATGATTAGAGTTTAAAAATATTGGCAATTATTAACATAAACGGATTTCTTTCATATGAGAAACAACCGTTCGTTCAAAATGAAACCAATGAAAGACAAACTGACGAAAGCGGAGTAATCCATGTTTCGGTCATTAGTACTACAAATGAATTGACTGTTTCCGACAAAACTGATGACAACCAGAATATAGTAAACCAAATGTCAAACTTCATAAAAGGTGTTATTTTTCAATTTAATCAATCGGAAAGTGATCATTTGAAACAATTATTTAAGTCAACCTCTTATGTGAGAGACAATAATATCTTGAAAATAGCATTTAAAGCCAAATCTCTTTCCGATGCCTTCCGATTGATGCAAATAAGAGCTGATAGCAAATGTCGAGGAATTATAAAGATGTGTAAAAATATGTCTCAATTCAGTGATCTTTGCGAAGGCGACAAAATAGCTCTCTTGAAGTCGGGCTGTCCTAAGATTATCAATCTTTTATCAGTCCTTAACTTTAATTTTGAGGGCAAGTTCTGGACCGTACCCTTTGTATGCAATGATTTCATATTGTCATGAATTCAATTTACATATTAGACTACTCTTAGGACAATGAAAATGCGGTACAACTCTCACTAGATTTGCTACTGAAAAGGGATATGTTTCGGACAGAAATCTACTATAAATTCATGCAAAATATTCAACAGGAATGCAATTCCGATTTGATCATGCTTGATTTGGTATTTATAATTTGCTAAAATTAATTTTTAAAATATATAGAGTGAAGGTAGCTAAAATGAGGTATTTTTCATGAATATAGTTGACGACTATATTACTATTTAATCCAAACCATCCAAGTCTGGTTCATAAGGATGTAATTATGTGAGTTATAAATTTTTATACATAATTTATATATTACAAGAATAATTATATATATAAGAATAATTATATATATAAGAATATTACAATATACAGAATAAAAATATACCTGGAATACTATTATTTCTATGTCATTATTAATTCTGTGTCTATTTTACTGTATGACTTGTTTACCGTAGATTGCAACAGAAAATGTACATTTATCTACTCAACCGGTATTTAGAGTTAAAATATAACTCTAAGACTGAATCCGAGACCCGATTCTTGCGATTAATGAATTGTCTGAATGAGT